AGTTGGCTGAAGATGTTTACATGAGTCAGCCAGAGGGTTTTGTTGATGCAAAGTTCCCAATAGAGTGTGCAAGCTTGAGAAATCCATTTATGGATTGAAACAAGCATCTCGCAGTTGGAATCTTTGCTTCCATGAGAAAGTCAAAGAGTTTGGTTTCTCTAGAAGTGAAGATGAGTTTTGTGTGTATATCAAGGCTAGTGGGAGTATAGTAACTTTTCTGGTGTTATATGTCGATGACATATTACTCATTGGTAACGACGTTCCAACCTTGAAAGAGGTTAAGTCTTGGCTTGGAAAGTGTTTTGCAATGAAAGACCTTGGAGAAGCTGCCTATATTCTTGGGATTAGAATATTGAGAGATAGAAAGAAGAGACTAATTGGATTAGTCAGAGCACATACTTGGATAAGGTACTAAAGAGGTTTAGTATGAAAACTCCAAGAAGGGAGAGCTACCTATCCAGAGCAATACCAAATTGAGTAAGACTCAATGCCCGAGTACAGATGTTGAAATAGATGACATGAGTCGTGTACCTTATGCTTCCGCTGTCGGATCGATCATGTACGCTATGACATGTACTCGCCCTGATGTGGCATTTGCTTTGAGCATGGTCAGTCGCTATCAGGGAAACCCAGGTAGAGCTCATTGGATAGCAGTTAGAATATACTCAAGTATTTGCGAAGGACAAAGGACTGGGTTCCTTGTGCTTGGTGGCAGTGATACTTTGAGAGTAGATGGTTACAGTGATGCCAGCTTTCAGACGGATAGAGATAACTTCCGTTCTCAGTCGGCTGGGTGTTTTTACTGAATGGAGGAGCAGTTATTGGAAGAGTTCCAAGCAAAATACGGTGGCTGATTCTACTTGTGAATCAGAGTACATTGCAGCAAGTGAAGCGTCGAAAGAAGCAGCTTGGTTGAGGAACTTCATCGGGGATCTCGGAGTTGTTCCAACCATCCAGGAGCCTATGGAACTGTTCTGCGATAATGAAGGAGCGGTTGCCTTGACAAAGGAACCGGAGATCATGGTAGACCAGACATATCGACAGAAAGTACCATTTCATTAGACATAGAGTTGAAGAAGGCCATCTTATAGTAAAGAGGGTGTCATCTGAAGATAACCCAGCAGATCCCCTCACAAGGGTCTGAGTAGGGCTAAGCATATTCAGCATGCTCGGAGCATAGGACTGAAAGATGATATTAGTTTTAGTAGTTAGATTTTTTTGTTTTTGAACCTTGTAACAAGTAAATGTAATTGACTTTTGGTGATTAAATAATAAAGTATTATTTATAAGTTTGGCTACTACCTTTTGTCAATTGTTTATTATTGTGTTTCATATTTGCATGTTTTACTTCCTGAATAATGAGATTATTCAAACTCCACAGTCGCTCGTACTCTTGGAAGTAAGTAGTGAATTAAGACTGTCATGAATGATTGCGATTGTCTAAGGATAGACATGGCAATAGAATTGCTGCAATGTTCATGAGTACTCCAGAAATTGAGATTTGAGTATTGGATAAACCCACGCTCAGAGTATTACTTCATGGAATTCATCACGAGTAATACTGAGACGATAATATCTTATAATCTTGAAACGAAGATATATGAGTTGTAATTTACAAGTCGGTTGTGCATTGGTGATACGAAAACGCATCAGTAACTTGGTGTTATAAAACGTATTGTCATGCAAATTTGATGAGTAAAAGATACAAGCATATGAGTCAACGTTTATTCGTTCCTTTTGCCCTAACAGGAAAGCGATATCTGTGGGCCCCTCGATGATTTGGTGTTGACTTATGTGCTGGGCCCAGCCAGGACTAAATTGATGTGTTCGATTAGAAGTCCTTCATCATCACAAATCAGGAATCGGGAAACATAGATTCTGGACAAACAGATTGATTACATTCCATGTCTTTTGTCTGGGGATATCAAGCAGAACGAAGGGTTATATGATCACTTATCTTAGGACACGTAACTGACTGGGTCAGAGTTCGCAGCAGCTTTTGGAAGCTACAATTTGCTGGTCAAATTTAGAAGGCATACTAGCAATTATAGTTACACGACTTATCCAAGTGGGAGACTGTTGGATTAGGTGTCTAAGCCATAACTATAATTGGTATGTACTTGAATTGATAGCAGCACAGTCCTTTTGGGTTGCCCTCAACCTAGCAACTGGACAAGGAAATTATGAAAGGAGAGATATTAATTTATAAGATTAATAAATTAATATATATATATATATAAATGATTTATTAATATGTTATGGATAATATATTAATTAGAAATCATTATGTTTAATTAATTGTTAGCCAGAAATTAATCAGAATTGAATTTTGGGGTTAAAAGAATAATTATAAAGGTGCAGGGACTAGTTTGCAATTATCTAATAGTTGAGTGGAAGGCTCTAGAACCCCCTTGGAAGAGGGTGACGAAACTTTAGGGAAACCCTAATAATTTCGTCCAAGGGGCTTGGATAAGGCCCTTGGGTTTGCTTAGGCCCTAAGAAACAAAGGATAACTAGGGTTTCCCTTAACCCTAGATCCCCTCAGCTATATAAGGAGCCTCCTGGTTCATGTTTTTGGTAACTCTTTCTTTTGAAGAAACCCTAAGGCCGAGATTTTGCATACTCCCTCTCCTCTCTCTCTCTTCTACTTTCCTTCTTGCTAGTTTGGGTGTGACTCCATTAGAGGCATTACACTTGTGGTGCTAAAGCTTCCAAGAAGATCAAGATCAAGATCAAGGGAATATCAATTGTTTGCTATAACAATTGAAAGGTATGTAACCCTAAACCCTAGTTTGTTAATTTCGAAATAGCCTCTCTCCTCTAGGGTTCTTGTTTGCAATTCAAAGTTGTATGTTCAATAGTTAAAACATAGATCCAAAGTAGGTTGCATGTGAACTTAGGAATTGTTTTTCTAGTTTATTTGTTTTACCTAAAACCCTTCACAAAGTACTCATGCGAGGAGTACCATATCTTCTGAAACCTTCCCAAAGTATTCTCAACGGACCTTTCGGGAACACCACTCGTACAGCAGGTCAAGTTGAAGCATAGAGGCTAGGGACAAATGCAGTTAACCTATCACTAATAAATGTATACGTGAGGGTGGTATATAATTAAGATTATACGGACTTAGGATGTGTGTTTCCGCCCTATCTCCTATTCCTTGTCTGGTTGTGGAACTTGGGGCAGAGTCACCCATCCGACCATCTAGTCATTCTTAATTATATACGACTTGTATACACGAGGTGATGATAGATGGACCAGGTTTGAGTCTTACCATTAACTTCAAGACGAAGCTGTCCAGGATTACGAGTGAGCATGCTACCATTCGGATGATCATAGACAAGTAAGTCAAGCCCACACACTCTCTACCGATCAGAACAGCAAACACAACAGTGAAGATCCGCTGGAACGCCAACGAGGATCAGAATTCACTTGTGGACAAGAAGATCATATGGAACAGAAGTACCCACCTCTTTTCCTAGTTCCTAAATAACCACTCAACATTTGAATTTTGGGACGAAATTCCCTCTAGCGGGGGGATGATGTCACAACTTGAAATTTTAGACCTAGTGAAGCCTAAACCCTAACCAAACACAAGTGATACTACATTACAATCCTTGTTGCATTGTATAATCTATAGCCTTAGGGCTTGTGAATAGCGCTAACAAAGAAGTATCGATTGAAACCTAAGCTAAATTAGGGTGTTATAAATGAACATAAGCTAAAAGACTAAGGGTTTAAATAATAAATAACCCTCATATATGTGTTTTCGCCCAAGTAATTAAAGGAGAAAGGGGTTTACGGATTTGGAATTAATTCAAGAAGGGTTTACCGTTTGGGAAGTGTTCCAATTTGGTGTTTTCGTTTGCCTAGATCCGAAAACACAACTCCAAGGCCCATTTGGGGCTATAACCCAATAAGGTAGAAACGAAAACACATGCTTTGAACACTACTACAAAAACAGCCTTTTACGATGCGCAATGCGTGTCGTAAAACGCTCAGATGACGCGCAAATGTGTGTCAAGGAAGGCCCTGTTATAACGAAAGACGACACGCTTTTGCGCGTCCTCTATTTACGACGCGCATTTACGACGCACAATTACGACACACATTTACGACGCGCGTTCACGACACGCATTGCGTGTCAAGGAAGACACTGTCAAGAAAGGCCATGTCGTAAATGAAGATGACAAAAATTTTTGCGTATCGTAATTTTAAATGTTTAAAAAAAATATTATTTATAGATTTACTAATTTTCAAATTAAATTTGTATTTAATGTCTCATAATAGAAAATAAAATATCATATACAAAAAATACAATCCATTGCATAAAATTTAATGTCATACAAATAATCGTTCCATGGAAAGATAAAACAAATCAATAGAAGTTATAACAAAAATTTACAAACGAATTAGATACAAAAAATACAATCCATTTCCCCTTTGCTTATTCAAGATCAACCTGCAAGTAGCTAACTAATCTTTACAAATTCACCCTTGTTTCTAATCATTTTCTTAAATACTTTACAAACATAGTTCATCCATAGTACCTGAACTATAGTTGCATCCTTGTTTCTTCTTCTTCTTTTGAACTCATCTCTTGCAACCATTGCTCTAAGCCTGGTCTGAATAGATACAACAGCTCCTTGTCAATTATGTGAAAAAGATAACCGGAGAGTGACATACCTTCATAATAGCAATAGCAAACGGAGCATGAATGAAAGAGAAGGCAATACTCACAACAATAGCCGCAGAGAATGCATCTAGGTCCTACAAGATCATACAAATCACTATTTAAATACACACTACATATAAAGGTGTCAATATTCTGATTGCATGTTATCCTAGACAAAATTATAATATATGAGCATAAATAGAAGAATAATTGGAAGTATATGTATACTTCACGTTGGAGGTGTTGACTTTCTGTCATTGGCAGTGGATGATTACGTGTTTGTATGGTCATATTCTTATTATGTGTAGCAAGCCTAAGAATTGCATCATTCATTAAATTGACAAAGGTTGGAGCAGCATGCTGACAGGTGCTGTTGTGAAATGACATAGGTGGTAATTCCCAGAGGTGGAACCAGTGCTGTAAATGCAAGTGAATACGTGGGAATTGAACTTGGTGATTTGCCAGTATATGCACTGGTGTAGTAGTTTCTAAGCGCAATAGCGTCATTTACTATGGGCAGAAGTTGATACTCTACTTCTTTTCCATTCGAGTCATAGACAGCAATATTCTCACTCACAACCTGTTATATATTCACATATAATACGCATAATATATTATTATTGTTATTATTATCCCAAAAAAGTGATTTAGATGCAACCAAAAGTTCAAAACCTAAATTGATACTCACTGGAAGTCTTATAACATCATATCTGTTCCACCCTAGGGAATTGTAGACAACAACCACCTACAATATAAAAATCAATATTCTATATTTCCATTTCACATTTATGTAGATATACAGAATATAACAGTTTTTGTTGACTTTCATGGAGAAGATAAAAATATAAAGCATCTCATTACCAATTTTTTGCCAGATGATAGATCCGTTTCAGTTGGAGGGCAATAGCTTATATTCAGAAGTGGACACTGAAAATTGATGAAGAAAAAAATTATCAAGCCCATTTAATAGTGTTATGTTATGTGTGTGTAAAGACAAATACTTGAGTTACATATATATACCTGTTGAAAATTGGTTGCTAAACTTCCACATCCAGGTGTCGAGGATGATACCATACAAGCTATAGACTCTGCAACTACCACTTCAGTCTGCAAGAAATTAATATAATTTTATTTTTCATATATAACCAAATTAAAAAAAGAAAAAACTTTTGATAAAATAAAAATACACAAATAGTTTTCAGTTTTCACATCCTTTTGACCTATAGCCAACTGTTTTGAATAATCATTAGCCAAATGTTGTTGTTCAGTTCCACTAACACCATCATGATGTTGTGCAATCCCTAAAGCATCACCCAAAGAATCTGTAGTGGGCCCCGCTTTGTTCCTCCCCTTCATTACTTCCAATTGCCTTGCTGCCTAAATATTTATTTAAAAAAAATTCAACCTTAAAAAACTTTAATGACTAGATTAAATATTAAATCCACCTACCAAGTAATAGCCGCTTAACATTCTAACATACCCCTTCACACCTGGCCTACTAGTAAAATACGTTACTAGATTAAATCTTAAAAAACAATGGCCCCATATCTTGACTCATAAGATTCATTGAAGTAGGCCCTGCCTCAATAGCATCTTGAAATACGTTACTAGGATCAAGAAATGTGTATGTGCTTTCTATAAATTTTTGAATCCAACCCCCTTCTATATATTGTGAAACTTGTTTAGCATTAATAGGCAATGAAAGATCAAAAGGAATAGGACCACCACCACCTTCACCGCTAAGTAGTGGATTAAAGTTGGAAGTGGTGAAGGTTATGGAGGGTTGATCAGGATGAGGCTTTAGTGTAGAAGGTTTATCTAGACCAACATTTAGAGCTAGAAAATACATCCCTTCACCAGATTCCACTTCATCACTTAAAACTTTATACAAAAAAATCTTTAATTATTACCTCATGTAGAGTAGGGGCATCGTTTGTTCCATATCCAGTAACAACAACAACGTGTCCCCATCACCTGTTTCACTGAACGCTTTGGATGTGGATCACTCTCTCCATATCCTGCTCTGCCAAATGACAGAAAGTAAATTTGCAGCTCTTTAATAAGTTCCTGTCATTATGACAATATATATTAGAAAAAAAGACCAATATGTTAAAGATAATGAATATAGTGTTCATGATACTTAAGAAATTGGGACTTTCATGTCTTTGGAGCTATCAAAGCCATGAATGACAATGATCTTGTAGTTGGATTTATCTTTGGAGACACCCCACTCTCTATAAGATATATGTCTTCCATCATTAAGTTGGATTCGAGGTGAAGTAATAGGAGGTCCACCAGGTGATCCACAAACCCAAGGAGGTGGTGGTTTGATTCGTGTATAAATCCATCCTATAAAACCACCCACCACATCAATTGCTACCTTTGCAATCATTGCTACGTAGAAGAAGAAGAAAACACTGTAAGAACATGTAAGTATGGGATTGAGCTATTCCAAGAAATTTAGTTTGGCTATGTTGAATATATATTTGATTTTCTGATAGAATTCTAAGTTTTACAGAGGGATGTGGGTTCTGAAACTACAAACGTGTTTTTAAAGTTTTGATTCCTCTTTCCTGTAATTTTTAGAAACTCGTATCAACAACTAATTACAGATCGGGTTTACAGAAAGGATTAAAATACCTGGAAAAAAGTACAGAGCATGAGAAGGAAACAACCAAGAAAGCTTGCTCTCCAACGCCATCGTCTTCTTCCGTTGTCGCATAATGCTATTAGGGTTTCATCTGCAATTTATTCTTGAACAACTTCTACTTCCTTAAATTTCTTCAAATCAAAGTTGTTAGGTGAGGGCTATGAGGCAAGAAGAGGCGGTGAGGGTTGGAGACGGTGGAGATAGGTGAGGGGCGGAGATGAACGAGGGGATATGTGAGAGAAGTGATGGAAAAAAGGTAGAAGATAAGCTCATGAGTAGTTTTAGTAGGTGGAGTAATGTAGAGGGGAAGCGGATTCGGGACACAGTCGCTGATGCTGATGAGTCTCAATGGTCGGCGATTAGAGGTGAGCCTGCGGTTGCCAACGAGGTGAGGTGAGACAGAGCAAGGTAAGGAGAGGCTAATCAAGTCGTCGATTACAAAGTGCTCGTGTGGAAGGGGTGGTGCGTAGAATCTGCATATGAAGGCGCTGAAAAAGGTCGATGGAAGAAGAAGGCGCTGAAAAAGATGTGACGTTGGCGGAGGGTCGACGATGGAAGAGGGTCGACAACCAGGAAAGAGCACAAAGTGGTGGTCGGAGTGTGAGGGGAGTAGTTAGCGGTCGATATGGGGAGGGGAAAGAAGTATCGTCGATTAGGGTAAAAAGGGAAGCGAAAGCGGGCTTTTCTAATTTTTGGGTTTTTCTTTTTCCCGCTTGTTTCTAAAGAGCGCGTTTCATTAAAAATTATAAAGCGACATGTTTAGATGACACACATTTTATAATAAGTGCCCTCCGTGTTTTGTTTTTTCTAACACTAATTTTAGGGCACGCAAAAATGCGCGTCCTAAATCCTTAAAATTTCTAGAGAGCTGACATTATTTTTAGGTCACACGCTTTTGCGTATCATAAATCACTGTGTGTCATAAATTGTGCGTCATTAAAGATCTGTTCTCTAGTAGTGGAAGAGATTAGATCCGAAAACACCTCCTTTCTAGAAGACCATGAGCGAAAACTCTTTTCCCTTTGACTATAGATCCGAAAACTCTTTTCCTTTTGACCTTAGAAACGAAAACACTCTTTCTAGAACATATTATGTCCGAAAACCCTCTTTATTTACATAATTTCATCTGTAAACACCTTAAATATTTCATATCTTATCCAAATTTAGCATACCAAGGTGATAAGATTCATTTACCAATGCAACCGCCTCATAAGTTCCTTCATATATAAGATACATCAATAGAAATCACTTTCATTCTACATATTCAGTAAACAAGAACGTCCTTGTTCTCTCTCAAATAGTAAACATTATTCTTTCCATTCACTCTCAAGTATAAGACTCACATCCTTTCATTCCAAGACCAAAACTTCTCCATGAGGTTTTTGCTTCAAGTTTGATATTAGCCTTTGGTAAGTTTCCTATGGAAATCATGTGTTTTCACAACCAACTTATGATTAGTATCATTATAATCACGCATTATTATGTGTTTAAACATTAGGATACGACTATTGTGTCACATTCTAAATCAAAGTTCACTGTTTTCTGTCTCGTTTATCACACCACGACTACACATAAGGTGAGTTCATACCCCTACACTTTTTATAACTTTTTCTATGTTTTAAGGGGGGAATACAAGTAAAACACAAAGAAACTTGTGAAAATATACAAATCATTATTCACGCTTTCTCATCTTTTATAAGCATTTTACGTAATATTATTAAATATGAGAAACAACGTTATTACCAAATTTATAAATTTTTACATGCAATCTACGTTAAAACACAATGGTTTTTCATTCTCAACTAAACATATATTTTAAACTATAATAGGTATAGTTTGGGAAACATTCACATTATTCCACACTTTCAGGGCAAAGAAACGATTATATAAAAATACGGTTATTTTTATATTTTATAAACACAACAAAAAGGGTAACAATTACACACACGAGCACTTACAGGTCAAAAACACGTAAACTCGTTGGAAATTTGTGAGTCAATGTCTTCGTCGTACCTACCAAGGTATACCAGCAAGTCCTATTTTATAACCCGAGTCTCCTTCCGGAGAGCGTGATACTTGTGTATAGATCTATACGGGATTAATGACCCTGCACCCTAGATGTTAGCTACAGCACGACCGGCAGGTTATGGGTGACAAATATCAGACAATACGACGCTTGAAGAACGTCGCGGCAGGCAAATCATTCGTTAGTACGGTTATGAAAACTCACATGATAAACGACTATGCGTGGATTTTTACGTGAAAACACATCTCTTCAAATATTTTTATATACAAATAAAACTAGTTATAACTATTTTAAGTGTTGAAAATACTTTTACTTTTCGGTCTTGGATCATATTAGACTACAACTCAACTTATGGAAAATATAGGATTTTCCAGAATAAACATCATTATTTTACAAGCAAATGATTTACAATCCAACTTTCTGGAAACAAATGCGATTAATTACATAATTTCAAAGCATCATTCTTTAAGTGTAAGAACTTATACAATTTTTGTCTTAAGGTACTAAGACTACGTTCCATTCAACTAATAAGAATATATAGGATTTTCTGGAGGAACACAGTAACACTTTCAAAGAACAAGGAACATACTTTATAAAACAAAAATGCTTATGAACTCACCAACTTTAATGTTGACATTTTTTTCAAACCACTTGTATTCTCAGGAAAGTTAGTAGACAGGTACCCTCTCAGGTGTTACGAAGACGGAGCATAGTAGAATTACGTCTTATCTTTTGTGACATCCCCTAATTTCTCGGCCAGAAAAGACCGATTTAATTTATGCTTTTTAAAATAAAATCAGAGAAATCTTTTTAAAAGATGTTGCGGAATTGGTCCCTAAAACAAAATATGATAAAAGTTTGTCAAAACCTTTATTTAAGAAATATATAATTTCATTTCATATCAAAACCTCGGGATGTCATGTTCCGATACAGATCAGAAGCATAAACAAGACATTATAAGCCTTTTAACAGTTATTTACAACTACTGGCCTATAATCCAAAATCTCTCATCGTCCACCGACTATGCTTGGGGTCCACTACCTGTAACATAAAAAGTTGAGTGGGTCATGCTTGGGAGCCTGGTGAGCATATAGGGTTTTCAACCCATAGTAATAATAAACTTATTAAGTTCACCAATCAACAATAACCCTGATTACCCGTTCCCGTTATCCTCACTTTACGTCCCTAAACACTTACCACAAGGGACCTAGCCTAAAGAATATCATCGGGATGGACACTACTGCTAAGGGGTTTGCTCAGTCATACATGTCCTAAAGGCAACCATGAGGGGGATGGAGTACATCAAATGAACACTCTAGTTCATTAACACCTACAGGTTGCGGACCTGCTAATGTTTCCCACTGGACTGTCTAGAAAGTCTGTGGTAGTCATCCAAACTCCGCTAGATGACTGAATCACAAATCACATCGAGGCCTCTCATTACTTTTATTTTATCACACATCACTATCTACCCATGTTCTACCCAACATATTTGTAGATAAAAATACTTATACAGTTTAAAACTTGTATAAAACATCAACTCAACAGTTACTTCAAATAAACAATTAATATATTTACACATAGCACGTATTATAAGGTAAATACTATATATCTATGTGTAAAATGAAAGTGACTATACACTCACTTGTTTTGATGAAAATCGGGCAGCAATTCGTTTCCTAAAACGTTCGTTTCTAATAAAACCGGGAGTTTTATTCAGAAACCGGGCTCTACGAGGGTCGGGCTTCGAAACCGAAAAGATAAATTTTCCGGGCTTCTCGGGCTCTTCGTGGCGTATTCTGGGGGTTATAATCGATACCGGGGCTTTGGGGATGTTAAGAAGAAGAAAATATGAAGAAAGGGGCTTAAAATGGCAAAACTCCAAAAGTAACCGAGAAGGCTCGCATGACCCTTCTATTTATAGGGTGCGAAGTCGGTCATAGAAGGAGAGGAGTCGGCATGCGAAGGCAGGTGGCATCAGAAGCGAAGGCCACGCGACAGCAGCTGGGCGAGGGTGCGCATGTGCTCGCACGTGATATGCACATGCGAAGCCTCGGTGTCGCCTCCTGATTGGACCGCGGCCTAGGGTGCGAAGTAGAGGGTTCGTGGCACTCTCGCGAAGGCTCGGACACGCGTCGGACTCCTAGTGGACCCCTTCGGATGACTCAGCAGCTCGGACACGTGGCTCGCATAAACTCACCAATTTCGGACACGTGGCACGATCTAAGCGAGGGTGACGTGGCAAAAACGTGACTATGCGAATTTTCTCGATTTTTGTGCAAAAACTTCTAAAATCCATAACTTTCGCATACGAGCTCCGTTTTTGACGTTCTTTATATTCACGCGTAGGTAAAATTACGCTCTACAACTTTCGTTTAGACTTCGTCGGCGAATTTTGACTTTAATTTTTATATTATTATTTTTAACAGACCGGGACAGGAAATCCGTTAAAAATTCATAACTTCTTCATCCGACGTCCGTTTTCGTCAGACTTTTTACCGTTGTGCTACTAATGACGAGACCTTCGATTCTCGTTTAGGTCGTGTTGGCTAAAAATCACTCGATCTAAAATTCGAGTTTTTAGCTGTCTACTGCTAAGCTGAAACTTCGAAAAATCATAACTTCCTCATACGAAGTCAGATTTGGGCGTTCTTTTTATACCTACTATCGGTTTAGCAAACACTACGAGTTTCGTTTAGATCACTAAGACCAAAAA